TAAATATATAAAATATATAAAAAATTGATGTGGGTACTCAAATGAAAGGTCTTGATGAGTGTAATGTCGGGATGAGCTTAAATCTTTAAAAATGTCAAGAGACAAAATTTTTCTTACTCTCTTAATAATATAGATAATTAATAATTGGTAATTTATTATTTATTATTAAGTAGAGTCTTACCGGTGCATTGGTAACGGATGATGACTGCTGCTCGGTGCATTGCTGTTACTATCAGCACTCTGAGGGCTGTTGGGAGAGTCACCGTTCAGCGGAGCAGGACTCGAATTTCTTTGACCGGTCATCGTCTGCTCCGGGTAAGGAATTGAAATCTCCACGTGGGGTGTTAGGAAATGCATCGGTGGGGTTGCGTTATCCACCGAACGATTCCCGGTACTGTCTCCACTGTCTGATAATGGCGCAGATGGCATTGCTTCATTTGGTGAACAACTATTTAATAATGAACTTGAACTATTTGGTCCTGGATTATCTAAATCTATTCCATGTCTGTAAAATTAATTTTTTTTTTTATTAAATATTTATTTATATTAAAATTTAATTTGTAAAAAAAAAATTAATTTAAAAATAAAAAAAATTCATTAATAAAGAAATTATAATTAATTAAAAAATATTGAATTAAAAAAAAATTAATAATTTTCCGTTGTCTAAATAATTTAATATTAAATATTTAAATTAATTTTATAAATTTTATTAATTGATAATAAAAATAAAATAAATATAATTATAATAATTACCTATTAAAAAAGTGTAACCTCAAGCATTTCATAGTAGCAGCGCGATAATTACAAAGCGGGCATGATTTAACCATATCATGTTGACCAACATGTTCATTTTGAAAATGAGCGCGCATAGCAATTTGTCGCTGAAATCCGCGGTTGCAAATTGGACAATGGTAAGGCAATGTTTTAGAATGTGTTGTAAAATGTTCTGCTAAATGGTCTTTGCGAAAAAATCGCTTTTGACAAACTCTACATTCATAAGGTTTTACTCCGGTATGACGCATCTATAAAAAAAAATAAAAATAATTATTAATAATAATAATAAATTTTTATAAATTAATAAAATGAATAAATTACCTTATGTCGACGCATATTAGCGCCATTTGAAAATTTCATGTTACATACATCGCATTCAAACATTTTTCTATGAGATCTGTGTCCACTTGAGTGTCCACTCTCATCATTATCAGCATCATGCTCATTAACTTCAATACTTTCGACACTTTCTACTCCTTCTCCGCCAGCTAAACATTGCTCTTGATGGACTGAAAACACTGCTTTATTCAATGTTTCGTAATTATCACATCTATCACACCTTTAAAAAAATTTTAAAAATTATTTATTAATTAGTATTAAAATTTTGCTTTATTAAATAATGACTTTTGTTAAATTGCACTGTACTTTCTTAATTATTGACATTTTTTAAGATATAAGCTCATTTCTATGTTACACTCATCAAGAGCTTTCATTTGAGTACCCACATACATTTTCATATATTTTTCATATATCAATATATATAATATATATAAATATATGAAAAATTTATGTAGGTACTCAAATGAAAGCTCTTGATGAGTGTAACATAGAAATGAGCTTATATCTTAAAAAATGTCAATAATTAAGAAAGTACAGTGCAATTTAACAAAAGTCATTATTAAATAAAGCAAAATTTTAATTTTTTATATTTTACAAGTCACGGCAGTCACATAGTTACTGCAAGGTTGTTAGTGTCTCTTAATTCCAATTTCATAACAAAAATATGTACTTACCAATAATGAAAAATTAAAAATTAAATCAGAAAATAATATCCTACAAGAATTAAAATTCCGTGATATTGATTTTGTAAATTATATTCATAATATTTAGTATTGACATTTATTACAATAAAAAATAGCCTTGCTTATTGATAATTAAATATTAGAAAAAAAAATTAACAATTCATCTACGGCCTTTGCCTTTGCCTTTTTTAGCCGTCGAGGAAGACTGCTGAGGTTCACTAGAGCTCTGTTTACCCTGGCGTGTTTTCAGATTGGGGATGCTTGTCCCAACGTAACCCATCAGCGAGTCTCGGGTAGGGTAATCTGGGTTAACTGGCGTGCCATCATCATTTTTTAATTGCACACGTATACGTCCTCGGTACAGCAATTCTTTGCTCCGCTCTTTGGGATGTAATTTGTTTTCTACACCGACTTTCAATCCAGCTGCCAGAAGGACGTCCCTGATCTCCTGGTGAGTTGGGTTCTCAACACATTTTGACTTTGGCAGCTTACGTCCCTCTGCGCGAGATTTTTTACTGTTTATGTACAGTGGATAAATACAGACCCACCTGTGAAAAATAATTATGCTTAGATTATTATCGAAATTATTTATTTAAAATAGTTTTTTTATTTAAATATGCTAAAATATATGAAAAATTGATGTGGGTACTCAAATGAAAGGTCTCGATGAGTATAACACCGGGATGAGCTTATATCATTAAAAATGTCATTAGTTGACATAATACAATGTAATTTCTTAATTATTGACATTTTTAAAGATATAAGCTCATTTCTATGTTACTCTCATCGAGACCTTTCATTTGAGTACCCACATGAATTTTTTTATATATTTTATATATATGGTATTTGTGATATATATAAATATATGAAAAATTGATGTGGGTACTCAAATGAACGGTCTCGATGAGTATAACATCAGGATGAGCTTATATCTTTAAAAATGTCAATATTTTACAAGATACAAGGTAATTTCTTAATTATGTATCTAGAGGTAAAGTATTCTCGACTCAGCCTAAATACTTATCATTTATCATATATCTTAATAATAATAATAATTACCTAAAAACAGGTACAGCACCATCACTGCTGTCATAATTAGTATTGAGTTGTGCTTCATTATCCCCGTCCTGCTCGTCATCTCTATTGGATCCAACTTCACCATTATCATTATTTATAACCGAGGATGAGTGAGAATCCACCTCATTTTCCCCATTATTCCCATCAATACCATCTGACATTATATACTTCAAAAATACTCTTCATCTATTAAATTCCTAAAAAAAAAAAAACAATATTTATCACATTAAAATCACTACTCACTTTATTATTTTTAATTTTATTTAATATAAAAATTATTTTTAATATATTATTTATAAAAAATTCCATTTTTTTATTTTTATTTCAATTTTTTTAGCAATAATTTTACACTAAAATTCAGCAGATATTTGATAATTTTAATAATTTCTCTAACAAATAATTGGAGCAAAAAAAATTAACATGTAGAAATTTAAAAAAATAAATGCAATTTTTTAGAACAAATTTATTTAAAAAAAAAAAATCACTGCTAACTTTAATGTCATTAAAAATTATTAAATATCTGCTCAAATAATTATCATAAATTTCTACTAACCCAATTTTTTGCCACATAACCTCTTTTTAATTCTTAAAACTCAAATTAAAAAAATTATATTATTATATTCTTCTTTAATTTTAATAAAAAATAAAAACTAACTCTAAACTAAAAAAAAAATAAGATAAATTTATAAAAAAAATTTCTACTCACTTTCTTGGTCTATTATTGTCAATCCATGTGACTAGATTTTCCACTGTATTTATTTATCTGGTAGAAAAATATTTAAATTAATTAATTTTAAATATTTTAATTAAAAAAAAAAAATTGTTAATTAAGAAGAAATAATAAATAGTGACAGTATGGGATTTTTTATGATTTATTAGGGCAAGGTGCAATTGTTAAATTATTACCCAATACTATATATGTGTATATGTATATATATATATGATTACGGCATAGAAACACCTGGTTAGTAAAACGCAATGCCAGAGTGCACTGCACTTTGTCCCAGTTTTCAATTTAATCCGTCACTTGTGACGTAGATTTAAATAATTTATTTTTTTTTATTTATTTAATAAAATAATAAAATAATTAATGATTAATTTTTAAAAGAAAAAAATTTTTATCACAATTACTCACAAAATGTCACTTTTAAATTGTAAAACAATAATAAATTATTTTTATCTGAATATTATTAAAATTTCATTATTTTTTTATTATTTAAAGTTTCTTAATTTGAAAATTTATCCAATTTGAAAAAATAGTTGAGCGTCGAAAATTTTAGGTGGTTGTTTTTTCGACTTTTTATTAAAACACAAACTATTGTTTATTTTTTAGTTCCAAATTTTTAGGACAGGTGGAACTTATTGGCAAAGTAGTGGGGGGGTAAAGTAGACACTGAGTTAGCAGACGTCTAAAAATTTTTGATTTTTTTTTTTAATTAAATTACAACTAAAAAGATATTTTTAAGAAATTGCACTTATAGTTTTTCAAGTTTTTAACATGTGATATATTTTTTTTTAATTGTTTAATTGAAATTTTTTGGATAAAAAAATTTCTAAAAATTTTGAAATGTCAGCTAACTTCATTTTCATGGGGGTAAATATTTTAAATTTTGTAATTTGTAATTTGATTAGAAATTTAAGATTTAAAAAAATTTTTTGACAGTTCAAATAAAATTGAAGAATTTTTTTAATTCGATATTTAATAGAAAAATTAGATATTTTTTTATTGAAAATATTTGATAGTTTATCATCAGAGGTAAAAATTCAAAGTTTTAAAAATGCTCATAGATGTCGCTGTAGTCTTCAGAAAAATTAGAGACACAATCGCTTCATGTTATTATTTATTGTCCGCCTAGAATTTCCTCAAGGATTACCTCGAAAAAGTTGTCATGGAACTATAACTACTCAGATTAATTGATAAATGCTCTTAATTGCTCAATTCAAATTCGCAATTGCTCACCCTATCAATTAATTATTTAATTAGTTATTAAAAATTAAAAATACTATATTATTTTTGCCTATTACACGTAAACCAATAGACTTTTCTTAAAAATTTTTTATGTAGACGGTTGGGAACGTTTCTTTGATCAATTCCAGGGACAGTTTTTAATTGCGGGAGATTTCAATGCCCATTATTCTCTATGGGGTAGTTTGTCAGAATGTAAGGGAGGTAAAACTTTAGTGGATGCCCTCGAGCGCAAAGAAACCTTCTGTTTAAGCGATGATGGCAGTAGCCCTACCCATCTCGGCTCTTCATTAGGTGTGTTTTCTTGTAAATTAATCTGGTATTAAATTGACAAGGATTCTGTGATTTTTAATTAAAAAGATCATAAATATTTCATTTTTATAATGATTTATTTTATTGGGTACTCTGACTCTTCTTTTACATCAATTTGGTCGGTAAAAAGTCTCAATAGATGTTGGGAAGATATAAATATTCTGAAGTAGGTTCAGTTAATTGAATTTTCTCTGATGTTCATCATCGCAAAGTTACTTCATGATTACACTCATTTTGTAATCGATCAGTTTCGGGATCGCTGTTATATAAGAATGTCCTTATACTCTTGATAAATATAAAAACCGGCGACCAATAATTTTATTATTAGGTGATGTTTTTTTTTTTTTTATAATGGTGAGATCTTTTTGGTTTAGTAGTAGCTCTATCGCCAAGGCCATATCTTTCTGACATGCAGTCATCAACTTCTAAATTAATGTCACCATCACGCTGAATTAAAAATTCTATCATGCGAGATAATCTGTTATCACTCGCAGCATAACACAATGGTGACTCAGCCCACAAAAATACCAATTAAAAATTATAAATTTTAAAATATAGAACATTAATGTATCTTTAATGAATTACTCATGATAAAATATGATAGCTAGATATAATAAAAAAATATTTCTAAGAAATAATAATAAATTTCATCAGAAAAAAATTGACACATATTTTTTTTAATTCGTGGGTAATTGTTATAATAATAATAATAATTAACAAATGCCCTGGAGGCTTTCATTAATAACTTTGTTTTTTTCGATGGATATTATTAATTGATTGGAAAAAAAAATCTTTTTATTAATTCAATCCCGGTTCTTACTAACGACAGTTGTTAACTATGGCTTCAATTGCTTGGATAATTTTTGGCACAATATTAATTATTAATTCTGCAACTTCTATTGTACAAAGTAAATTATTTTTTTTTTTTTAATTAATATTTATTCCAAAAATAATTATTAATATTTCTTCAGTTATTTTTTTTTTAATTAATATTTATTATTAAAATTTCTTCATTAATTTTTATTTAAATTTAATTTTTTTTCAGACTTTGGTAGCAATAGAAAATGTCATTGCGGTTACGTTGAAAATTTTTGCAGTGCAAATTTACAATTATTTAACTATCTTAACAATCATAATTGTTATTCGGTAAGAAAATTTCTTATTTTTACATTTTTTATAATATTTTATGTATTATTATTTTTTAATTTTAGTACTCTCCAGCCTATTGTCCGGATAATAAAGTTCGATACTGCAGCATCCCAGATGGTTCAATTAGTGAAACCTGCGGGATGAAAAAAATGACGGTGATGACCAAAAAGATTAATGGACAGTCTCAAGTTGGTGAACATCCCTGGCAAGCTGCCATTTTGACGAGTAATGGAGATGGCAATTATAAGTACAAAGGTGCTGGTGCTCTAATTCATAAGAAACATGTTATTACTGTTGTACAGAACGTTGAGTAAGTTTTAATTTAATAACTAACTATTTAACTAAAAATAATTATATATAAAATAATTAACTATTTCTTCTTCAATATTGAATTTAAAATTTTTTCGCCATAATTAATTAAAGAAATAATTTAAATAAAAAATAATATTCTATTTCTTCTTCAGTATTCAAATTTTACTCTTCTCACCATTATTAATCAATGAAGTAATTTAAATAAAAAGTAATTGTATATTTCTTCTTTAGTAATTAATCCCACTGTTCTCACTATTATTAATCAAAGAATTGAAAAAGCAATAATTGTCTATTTCTTCTTCATATTAAAATTTAATTCTTTTTATTATTATTTATCAATGAAAAGAATAAAATAATTGAATATTTCTTCTTTAAATTTTATTCTTCGCAATATTATTAATCAAAGGAGTAATTTAAATGAAAAAGAATTATATATTTCTTCTTCAGTAATTAATCTGAATATTCTCACCATTATTTATAAAAGAAGAAATAAAAAAAAAATTGTCTATTTCTTCTTCAGTATTTAAATTTTATTCTTCTTCATTAATTAATCCCAATATTCTCATAATTATTAATCAAAGAGAAGTAATTTAATTAAAAATAACTTTTATTTCTTTTTCAGTATTAAAATTATATTTTTTTCACCATAATTAATCAATGAAGAATAAAAAAAAATTAATTGTCTATTTCTTCTTTAGTAATTAAACCCCAATATTTTCATCATTATTAATAAAAGAAGAAATTTAATTAAAAAATAATTGTCTATTTCTTCTATTATATTCTTCTCAATATAATTAATCAATAAAGAATTGAAAAAAAAAAAAAACAAATTGTCTATTTCTTCTTTAATTTCCAGAACCGGTGATGTAATTCGTCTTGGAGAATGGGATCTGTTATCAAATCAAGAAATATGCAGCCAACAAGATTACCAGGCAAAAAAAATTATCAAGCACCCTGGGTTCAACACCGACACGATGGAAAACAACATTGCATTGATAATATTAGACAGGAATGTTCCATTGGCAACAAGCCCGCATATCAGCACCGCTTGCTTGTCTTCATCAACTCCATCATTCGGAAGTAGATGCTGGATTGCTGGGTGGGGTGGCTGCCAACAATTGACACCAGGAACTACCAAGAGATTAAGAGATGTCAATATTCCTATTGTGAACCGCTGGGCCTGCCAGCAATCAATTCAAAATTTTCTAACCGAAACTTATGAACTGCCTGAAAGTATTTTCTGCGCCGGTGAAGGAAAAATGGACTCTTGCATGGTAATTTTTTTTATTTTAATCTCTTCTATTTTTATCTTCTTCTATTTATTTTTTTTTATTTTGTGATTTTAGATTGATGGAGGCGCTCCATTAGTTTGCGAATCAGCTTCAGGAAGAATGGAAGTCGTAGGATTGGTTTCTGCATCTGTTGGATGTCAGCAAAATGTTCCGAGTCTATTTACTGATGTCAGTAAATTTACTTCTTGGATTCATAAACAAGTTTTTGAGCATTGTTAAATAATCAAATTTGATATTGATTTTTTTGGAAGAAGATGATAATAAATTATAACTTTAATTATCATTTTTTAATGTGAAACTGGGAACTTTGCAGTCACTACGTGACTGCCGTGACATGAGCTATGGATAAATAAAATTTTGTTTCATTAAATAATGAATTTTATTAAATTGCACTGTACTTTCTTAAATATTGACCTTTTGAAAGATATAAGCTCATAATGATGTTACACTCATCAAGAGCTTTCATTTGAGTACCCACATGCATTTTTGATATATTTTTCATATATACATATATATATAATATATATAAATATAGAATATATATGAAAAATTGATGTGAGTATTCAAATGAAAGGTCTCGATGAGTGTAACATTGGGATAAGCTTATATCTTTAAAAAAGTCAATAGTTCACAAGATACAAGGTCATTTCTTAATCATTGACGATTTTTAAGATATAAACTCATTCCGATGTTATACTCATCGAGACCTTTCATTTGAGTACCCACATCAATTTTTTTATATATTTTATATATATGGTATTTGTGAAATATATAAATATATAAAATATATGAAAAGTTGATGTGGGTACTCAAATAAAAGGTCTCGACGAGTGTGATATCAAGATGAGCTTATATCTTTAAAAATGTCAATATTTCACAAGATACAAGGTCAGTTCTTACTTATTGACATTTGTAAAGATATAAACTCATCCTGATATTATGCTCATCAAGACCTTTCGTTTGAGTACCCACATCAATTTTTCATATATTTATATATTATATTATATTATATATATATATGTAGATATGAAAAATATATCAAAAATGCATGTGGGTACTCAAATGAAAGCTTTTGATGAGTGTAATGAAAGGATGAGCTTATATCTTCAAAAATATCAATAGTTCTCATAATACAAAGTCATTTCTTAATTATGTATCTAAAGATGGATCTATTATCTTGTTTATAAACTTAAAAAATAGATAGATAGATAGATAGATAAAAAATTTTATTTGGCTCTGGAGCCTAAGCTCCCTCAAAGCCATCAATATTTAAATTACATTGGTTTACATAGGTTACAAGATTACTTAACTAATTAAAGGTTTACAATTAGATTTAATTTTAAATGTAATAAAATCCAGCTGGATCATTTAATACAAACAAATAACTTAATTTAACTTCGTAATAATTATACAAATAAATATATTTCAATAAGATCAAAAATAAAGATTACAGTTGCTAACTGTCATGTTCAAAAAAGTAATTGAAGCAAGCATTTTTAAATTCAACAATGACACAATTAGCCCGCGGCATACGTAGGTAGTCCTGTCGGACATCACCTCTACGTAATGCTACAGGCAAAAAGTCTAGTTTTGAAGCGAATAACTGCCGATAATTTAGTCGAATTTCTTTATAAAAATAGACAAGCAATGAAATAATCTCTTCTCGCTGCAAGCTTTAGCCAACCTAACTTTTTAAAATATGGAGTAACATGTTCATATTTTGGTACTTTATAGATAAATCTAACACATGAGTTCAATTTACGCTGCATCTTTAATAATAATTTATTTGACATATTCGTATATGCCGCACAACAATAATCAAAGATAGGAATTATTAAAGTAGATACTAGCTTAATGCGTAAAGTTTCACTAAATATTTCATTGTTTATTTTTAACTGTGCTAGAATACTCATAGCGCGATTGCACAAATTTGTTACTTGGTTCTCCCATGAGTGAGTACTATCTATAATCACCCCAAGGTATTTTACAGTGCAACTATAAGGAATAGCACACCCCTCCACAAAGATTGCGTCAGCTAGCCTGCACTCATCACTACTAATTTTTGCTCTACTTCCACAAATGATTGCTTTCGTCTTCGAAGGATTTATTTTTAGATGATTAGTTCTACACCAATCTGTAATTTTCATTATTTCATCGTTAAGCTTATTCACACAATCACTGATTTCAGAAAGATGGCAAGAAAGGTATATCAGTAAGTCATCAGCATAGAATAAGTACTGGCAATCTAAACATTTAGCTAGATCTGTGATGTATAGTGAGAATAATAACGGACCAAGCACACTTCCCTGAGGTACATCACTTACAATTTCTTCCCACGACGAGTTACCTTCGCTTGAGCGTACGGACTGCTTCCTATTTGCTAAATAACAAATATAAATAATGCTGTGAAGCGGGAAAGAATAGGAGTTACGGATAATTTATTACGTGAAGCGTTCCAACATTCACGTAACAGGATAATTGGTAGGAAAGGATTGTGGAGAGGATCATCTTAATGTGAGTGTATAGAATATGTGAGAAAAAATTATTAGATAGCTCGGACTGGGATTCGAACCCAAAATAATTATAAAGAAGAATACCTTTCTTACATTTCTTAGAGTAAAAAAAAATGTATTTTTAAAAAAAGAATTAACAATATTGTAGTAAAAAAGTACAGTTTTAAATTTGTTAAAAAAAATTTTAGATTAAAATTTTTAAATTGTTTTTTTTTTTTTAATTAAAAAAAATTTGAAGATAAATTTGGTATTTCTTCAGCTAAGAAATAAAATTAATTTCTGCTTACAATATTGCTCAATTTTTTATAAATAAATTTTTACAAAGAAGAAATAAATAAAACCTTAATTTCTTTTAATTAACTTAATTTAATTAAAAAATTATTAAATAAAGAATTCAATTAATACAAAACACATGAACAATATAATAATAATAAAAAACCCAAATTTTTATTAAATAATTCCACAAAAAATAATCAATACATTTCTTCCCAAAATTCACTTTCCAAATTTACGAACTTTTTCCTCTTCTTCCGGAGTAAAATCATTCACGGCACCAAACTGGGTTCTTAATTGCTCAGTAGTCTTCCCTTTCATCTTATGAGCGATAGTTTTGCAAATAGTTTCCATCAGGGGCTTAATGTCGAGGTAGTTTGCAGCCTCAATAAGATCTAAGAGCATTCCTTGTTCCATCTTGAAAAATTCAGCGTTCCATGCACACATGTCGTCAGTTTTTACTGAATAAGCATCTTCATTATTTTCCTCGAACGGCAGATCATTTTTATAATGAATAGCCCATTGGATTATTTTATCCAAAATTACAGAGTTAATAATTGGCAAAGGAATTGGCACTTCTTCATCGGTTTCATCTTCTCCAAGGCTTTCTAACATTGTTTTAATTGTTGTTGAACATTTGAGTATTTCCACATCAACTTTAAATACTACTCCGTCGTTACTTTTCAATTTTATAATTGCCATTTTTATAATTTTATTTATAAAAATTTTTAATTCACAATTTTTTTTTAATAATTTATAATTTATAATTTATAATTTTAATTTAATTAATTTTTTATTGTAATTTTATTGTTATTATTTTTAATTTTATTAATTTTTGATTTTTATTTTAATATTAATTGTTATTTTAATTTAATTTAAAAATGCGTCTGTTCGCTTCAAAATTTTTGACTAAAATGTAGCTGATAATTTTACTTGACTACTACTATAGTAATTATTAAGATTAATTTATGGCAGTACTTTCAATACAATAGATTAAAGAATTTATTTTTAAGCCTATTTATAGATAGCTTCGTAAATAATTGCTTATTTAAATAAGTTATGTAGGTTCAAAAATTTCTAATGTATGTATTAATACAAACATTTTTCATTTTTCTTGAGATTCAAACAAATAATAGATTAAAAGATTAAACTAAAAATACACTTGAATAGAAAATTGAATAATTGAAATATATAAATGAATTTTTGATAAAAATAATAAATGAAAATGAAATTAATTTTTTTTGTAAAAAAAAAAACACAAATTAATTAATTAGATTCAAGAGAAAAATTCATGATCTAAGAAGTTTATGTTGTTTTGAGTAAATTATTGACATTTTTAAAGATATAAGTTCATTTTGGTGTTAGTCTCACCAAGACCTTTCATTTGAGTACTTACATGGTTTTTTTCATATATTTTATATATATGGTATTTGTGGAATATATAAATATATAAAATATATGAAAAATTGATGTGGGTACTCAAATGAAAGGTCTCGATGAGTGTAATGACAGGGTGAGCTTATATCTTTAAAAATGTCAATATTTCACAAGATACATGGTCATTTCTTAATTATTGACATTTTCTAAGATATAAGCTCATTTCGATGTTATACTCATTGAGACCTTTCATTTGAGTACCCACATGGCATTTTTTATATATTTTATATATATGATATTTGTGGAATATATAAATATATAAAATATATGAAAAATTGATGTGGGTACTCAAATGAAAGGTCTCGATGACCGTAACATCAAAATGAGCTTATATCTTAAAAAATGTCATTAGTTGACGAGATACACTGTCATTTCTAAATTATTGATATAAAATTTTTGTTCAAAAATTGTTCATTTTTATTTTCAATAAAAATATTAAAGTACAAAAAAATATCAATAAATTTCACAATTTATAGTCATGTCTATCATCTAAATTATCAATAAAAAATTAACAAGTATTAGCAATTTGTTCATGAATCCATGGAACATAATTTCTAACATTAACATAAAGACCAGGAATCGGTTGTCCACAGCTAACACCACCAGCAACTAGACCAACAACTTCCCACTGACCATTCGCTCGTTCGCAGATAAGAGGAGCGCCTCCGTCACCCTGAATAAATTTAAACATTAATTTTTTAAATACTTCAAATTAAATCAGATCAATAAATAAATAAACAAATTAATTAATTAATTACTTAATAAATAAATAAATTATTAAATAAATAAAGTAATTAATTAATAAATTAATTACTTAGTAAATAAATAAATAAATTAATTAATTAATAATTTTTTTACCGAGCAAGAATCTTTTCCCGGTTCACCCCCAGCACAAATAAGACTTTTTTTGTCTAATTTAAAATTATGAGACAATCTCGTTGTTTGTAACCGCGCTTCGCATTCATTATCGTCAACAATTGGTACGTTAACTTCTTTCATATATATCGAAGCTCCAAAATTACGATAGGGCTCTTCACTCCATCCAGAGACCCAGCATCTCTTCTTAGCTTTGGGGACTTCCATAGGCAAGCATGCAAAATTTATATGAGGATTATTAGCGAGAGGAACTGAAGAAGTAAGTCTTAATAGCGCTATATCGTCCCCTATATTGTCGTCGAACGTCGGATGGGTTATCATGAATTGCACTCTGTAGTCAAATCGTCTACAGATATCTTCTCCGTAGTCGCTAGTGTCTCCTATGCGAATTATTAATGAAGTTTGTCTGTAAGATTTATTTTTATCAATTATTAATATTAATTTTTTGATATATTAATTAAAAATTTATTTATAAATATAGTTTTAAAGATGATACTAGACTCAATTTTGTAGAAAACTAATTATTTTTAAATGGTTCTTTTTTTATAATTCACTTGTTGGAACGAAAGAGGGCGCTTAAGTCGTGTAAAAAAAAAACTATCCGCGGGAAAGTCTTAATTATATTTAAAATTCAATTGGAGATACAATTAATTTATTATTAAAATATAAAAATTAAATTAGCCATCTGAAAAATTTTATAAATTTTTATTAATAAATTTTATTAATTAGAATTTTTATTGATTAAAAATTGCTTAATTTTTGCTAATATTAATAAAAAATAAAAAAATTATTGATATTTAAGAATAAAAACTTACGGAATTGATGAAACTTTATGAGCGACGGTCAAAACATGATTACTCGTTATTAAAACACCTGCGCCAACTTTGTACAGTTTCTTCTTTAGTTCTTGTAAAATAGCAACGTGCCATGGATATTCACCAAGGTTAGCTACCCCTTCAGGAAGAGATGTAGTAGTTAATTTTCTTAAACCACACACTTCATTAGTCATTCCAAAACCAATGTCGCAATATTTAGCTTGGCCTTTCTCGCATTTATCTGGACATTCCTAATAATAATTAATTTATTAGTTCATTATTATTATTATTATTATTATTATTATTATTATTATTATTATTACTATTGTTTTAAAAATTTAGAAGAAGAAAATTTTGATTTCTTCTTCTTTTTATTATTATTATTATTATTATTATTATTATTATTACTATTGTTTTAAAAATTTAGAAGAAGAAAATTTTGATTTCTTCTTTTTATTATTATTATTAAAAAAAATTTCAAACAGTTAAATAATAATAATAAATTTTTTAATTTTATTATTATTATTATTAAAAAAAAATTTCAACCAGTTAAATAATAATAATAAATTTTTTATTTTTATTGTTATTATTATTTATTTAAAAAAATTCTTACCTCATTTGTTATCCGTAAATCAATAGCATCAGAAAATTGACATAATTTATTTAAATCATCACAATAACAATTTAATAATCGGACGTTGGCAGCTAGAATAATTATTTAATTTTTAATTTATTTATTCATTAATTCTAAATTTTTTAATTTACAAACTTTAACAATAATTAAAATTTTAAAAAAAATAAAATTACAAATAGGTATTTCATTAATTTGATAAATAATTAAGAAATATTATAAATAATTTATATTTCTTCTTTATTAAATAATTTTTATTATTTAAAAAATTCTAATCATTTAATATTTCTTCAAATTTTTATAATTACAGAAAATTTAAGTCAATAAATTTTATAAAAAAAACAAGTTAGTTTTATTTTTAAAAAAATTTTCTTTAAAATTATGAATTTTAAACCTTAAAAAAATACTACCTCTTTTTTCGCGTGTTACTCTAGTAAGATTTTGCAAACTAAATCCACTTGTTGCTCTAACAATTATTAAAACTAAAACTAAAACAATTCCAAAAATTTGCTTAAACATTTTTACTAAACCAAAATAGACGCGCGATGTTTATCATACTCTGAAATAAACTTTGAATGAAGCTAAACTACTCTTCTCTGGATATTTATATACATTATTGTCGAAGTAAATGTAATGATTATCATTAACACCTCATGTATGAACCATAAAAAAAAAAAGTGGTCAATGCTCAGCTTCACCCTCTTATTTTGAGGATTGATACAAAAAAAGTAGATGAAGGTCACTGAGAAATTGAATTAAATAGTGAAAGCTGAGCATCCGAGTGTGTTAGAAAAAATAGAAGTTATTAGTATTTTTATAATAAATAATAAATTGTATGGAAATTTTTAGTTTTTGTCAGACAATTGGTTTCCGGTTGTGTAAGATTGGAGTTTATTATTTAATAGTTAAAAATTTTTTTTTCGTTTTATTAAATTATTGCGTCAGAAGCCAATTGTTTCAAGGAAAATTTTTAAACCCTCTTTAGAATGGAGGATACGAAATTTGTTAATTTTGTTTTGTTAAAAAAATTTTATTAAATTAATTTAATTTTAAGTCTTCGCAAAATTTAATTCACTGATTTTTTAAAAAGTTGAAAAAACTTGTTAAAAAAAAAAACAAAATATTTAGTTATTATGTCACTTATTAGTGTATTTTTTAATTATTTAAGATCAATTAAAAAGCGTTAAAAGTAGCTTTTATAAACATCACGGAAAAAACAAGATGACATTGGATACCATCTCAGATTATACTCAGTGACATCTGAGGCGAAAAAAAATTTCAGATGGTAGCTAGTATAATCCAGATTATACTGAATAATATCTGGATTATACTCATTGTTATCTGGATTATACTAGCTACTATCTGAATTTTTTTTTCACTCAGTATAATCTGGGATTATATCCAGTATAATCTTGTTCTTTCGGTGATGATACTGAAGTCAGCTGACGAATATCAAAATTTTATAAATTTTTATAAAAAATCAATTACAATAAAAAATTTTCACTAAAATTTTTTTATTTAATTTTCATATGATGGAGTTTTTATAATAATAAAGTTAGCCAACGTTTTTAATTTTTTGATTTTTTTTTAACAATTAAATTAAAACAAAAAAATATTTTTTTAAAATTGCACTTACAGTTTTTAAAGTTTTTTATAAATGAAATTTTTTTTTAATTTTTTTATATTAATTTTTTCAATAAAAAAAAAATTCTGAAAATTTTTGGATGTCGGCTAACTTAATTTTCATGAATATTTTAATTAAATTAAAATAATAATTTGTGGTTGTTATAAAATTCTAAAACAATTTCTAAAGGTAGTACGTATAAGTGAAACGCATAATCCAAGAAAATTATGAAATTTTTTTCATTGGAAGATAAATATATTGATAATTTATCACCAAAATTTCAGATCAACTCACCGCACCGTTTTTGAGTAATTAATTTTCGAAATTGTATCTTTTACACGTAGAGGTATAGAGGAAGTAGGTAAAGTTAGTATATGAAATCTTCCGTACCACTTAACTCGAGTGGCGGTATCCCGTTCTAAAAAATAAAAAAATACACACGAGATATAACTGTTAAGAAAAATAGTAAAATGGCGGCAAGTTTTTACTAGCGTATTTTAGGTTTATTATAAAATTTTTTTTTAATGTAAATAATTAAAACTGTGGGGGTAAAATAAAAAAAAAAAACTAAATTATTTTCTCTTTAAAAAATGAAAACTTAAAATTACCCGCCAGAGGTCTAGTAAAAAATGGCGGCAAATTTTCCGTAAATTTTTTTTGTGGAAACAACTTTCCATTGAGTTAATTTTCAGGCCAGCTGAAGCGAGCATTCGAACTGTATTATGTATAGTAATGCAAGTGTATTTTTTGAATAACACTGAGAAGCGTTTGATGAGTATATTTACCTAAATTCGCCTACCACCACGCCATCTTATGGTCTTTTTGTGTCAACTAACCCCCCTGCCGGGAAGCGGGGGTATGATTTATCATGTGATCACCTGTAAAAGCGCGGCAACTGTCGCGTGTCTCTCCGCCTCTCGTGGTAGCGTTCATCAGAAAGGATTCCGTACCATAGTAATAAAAAAGAGAAAAATAATATTGCCGCAAGAGTTTATTTTTGCATTTGGAATAATTTATATAATTTTCATTGGCAATTCAAAGGATAAATATTACAAACATTCAATTTGGTTCCAAAAATAGTACGTAAGTTTATGATTTATATGAAAGTTTATTTTTTAAGTTATGAATATTTTGTAATTAGAGTAATTTAGAGTAATTATTGGTTAAAATAATTAATTATTAAGTTTATTCAATTTAATATATAATCTGTAAAATATTTGTTTTATCTTATTTTAAAAATTCACTATAATGGAACATGACATTAAAGTTAGCAGTCACGAAAGAATTTTTTAATTTTTTTTAACAAAAAAATTTTCTTTAAAAAATTATTTTTACAAAATTGTATTTTTAACTTTTTAAAATTTCTACATGTCAATTTTTTATAATATTTTTTTTTTTTTGCCTTAATTTATTAGTTTAGAAAAAAAATTCTAAAAATGATTAAATATCTGCTAAATTTATCATCATTATTGAAATCAGCTGGCACTTGAAATTTTTTTTATTAATTAAAAGTAAAAAAAAAATATTAAAAAAAAATTGCATTTATAATTTTTCAAATTTACATTTAAAATTATTTTTAATTTATTTATTTTAATTTTTAATAACATTGGGCGTGTTTGGCCGAAGTAAGTACTTACTAAACTTAGTATAATCATTTGTTTGGCTTAGGATGCTTGTAGAGAATGTAAAATCGATTCGATTGGTATATAACAATGATTAGAAATGAACCGATCGAAAATTTTAAACCTTACTCTAGTTAACTTTTGATAACTTTTGATAACTGAATCTGAATTATTTTAAATAACATCACATATCAAAAACTTGAATATTTAAGGTTCATATAAACTTAAAATTTTTAATTTTTAACGTATAATAATTTAATTACGATCAATTGAAATGCCAAACATCCTTAATCGGTCAACTACTGGTGCATTTACCCTAACAATCTTAAAAATTTTTTTTAGCTGGGTTAAAACTAAAAAAAAAAAAAAAAAAAACAGTAAAAATAATGAGAAAATTTTCAATTAGAATTCTCAAAAATCACCTTTTTTTTTGACTGTCACAGTGGTGTTCCCCCTTAATTATAAAATTAATTAATAATTATTTTTTTTTTTTTTTCATTAAAAATAATTATACATTAATTTTTAAATTTAGATTGTAATTTTTATTGATGAATATTTTGAAAATAGTTTACAGGACAGGTTGTAAAAGACCAGCCTCTAGAACTATTTGGTAAATGGCAAACAAATCAATACGATCCTCCAGTGGCTAAAAATGGAATAATACCACGTAATGAATACGGCAATGTCGACTTGTTTAAACAATGCATGTTACCCAAGGGAACTGTCCATATTGATCGTAAGTGTACTCATTATATTTATATTAAAATGCGAGTTATTTTAATTTTCACTGTCGCTCTTTTTAGTTAGAATTTATTTTCTATTTTTAAATTAAAAAAAAAAAATAAATTTTTTTGATTTTACAAAAATTCATTTATGAAAAATATTTTTAAAGCCTGCAAAAATATTTTAAAACTTAATTTAATTTTTTTCTCTTAAATTTAATGTTTTAATTTAATAAAACATCAAATTAATTTAAAACAATTATAAAATTAATAATTTATTTTGAAAAAATAATTAATTTATTTAAAATAGTTCCAGGATTGGCCCGAATTGCGAAAAAGTTAAAAATCGACTGCGCGCAAGCAGTAGTCGGATTTAATTTTGGGTGTCGCGGTGCGATGCCAATGACCCAGGGTTATATCGTGTGCGAGGAACACGAAGAAACTATAAGAGATGCCTGGACCCAAGAGCAGGTGGAAGCTGAGAAGCGCGCAAAGGAGAAGCGGGATAAAAGAATCTGGGGCAATTGGAAAAAGTTAATCCGCGGGGTTTTGATCAAAGAAAAAATTGCTTACAAGTACAACATGAATGATTCTCAAGAAGACAAAGATGATAGTCTTGATGGTGATTTTGATGATCAAGATAAAAAAAATAAAGTACCTGGAAAAAAAACTAAAAGCAATAGTATTAAAAAACGAAAAACTTGATTTTTCTTTTCTGTTTAATTATTTATAAAGTTATGAATTTATAAATTCATGTTTTTTTACTGATAATGTTAAGTGTGAAACAATAGTTGTACTGAAAATTTTTTTAATAAATTTTTTAATGCTCAAATATTTTTTTTTTTTTCATCAATTTAATAATTAGAAATCTATATTATTAAAAAAATAAGTCTTGACTTGAATTTGTGCCTATTAAAAATTTCATATTATTCTCACCAATAGTCAATGTATGATGATAAGTATTTTAGCCTGCATTCGAAAATGCTCTATCTCTAGATGCATAATTAAGAAATGGCCTTGTATCTAGTGAACTATTGACATTTTTAAAGATATAAGCTCATCCCGATGTTACACTCATCAAGACCTTTCATTTAAGTACCCACATCAATTTTTCATATATTTTATATATTTATATATTTCATAAATACCATATATATATTTTATATATAAAAAATTAATGTGGGTACTCAAATGAAAGCTCTTGATGAATGTGACATCGGGATGAGCTTATATCTCAAAAAATATCAATAATTAAGAAATGACCTTGTATCTTGTGAACTATTCACATTTTTAAAGATATAAGCTCATCCCGATGTTACACTCATCAAGACCTTTCATTTGAGTACCCACATCAATTTTTCATATATTTATATATATTATATATATATATATATGTATATATAAAAAATATATCAAAAACATCAAAATGAGCTTATATTTCTAAAAACGTTAATATTTAAGAAAGTATAGTGCAATTTAACAACCGTTATTAAAGGAAAATTTTAATTATTTATAGAACATAAGTCACATAGTGACTGCAAGGTTGCTAGTATATCTAAATGTTAAAAAAAAATATTTTTAAAATTTTCTAAATTAATAAATTTAATTTATTAAAATTGAAATCTCCAGAGATATACTTATTATAATAGTCAATTTAAAATTGAAATTTCATATAATTTAACTAAATTGGTTTTTATTACCAGTGTGCACGCAAATGCTAATTTTACTATTTATTCATTACGCAGTAAGTAGCTTACCTAATTCCTAAATTATTTTTCATACAATTTTTTAAAATGTTTTTATTTATTTATAATACAATAGTTCAACATTTTATAACGATAAAAATAAGTCACAACACACTAGATTTAATTAGTACAATTTCATACCTACACATTAAATATTATGCTATTTATTTATTATCTATAAAACAATTAAATACAACATATTCTCATTCAGTTTTCAAAATCTGTCAGTCTATTAATTTTAGTAAAATGTGTTATGATTAAAAAAAAATATTTTATTGAGAAGAATAAATTCAGTGTTGTGAATTAATACTTTTTTTTTTTTTTTTTTCTAGTTAAGAAATATTTTATAAAAGTATTTCTGATCATATAGTCTAAATAAACCGGTTATATATTTCTTTTCTTCTTTTATTTTTAATAAATTCCATTATATTGATATTGAGAAGAAATGCATTTATAGTTAAAAAAATAAAAAAATAAAAACAATCTTCCCTTTCAGTTCTCTACCAAGATCACATATTAAATCATTCTTATCTTCGTATCACTTATTAAATTAATACCATATTATTTTTTTATTTTTCTACATTTAAAATAACGACTAGTCTATTATCTAATTTATAAGATAAAATTAAAAAGTGATTAAATCATCTGTATTGTCTGTAACAATTTAAATAAAAATAAATTAAATTGAATATATTTTTGGCAGTATCAATTAATACACAATTATTATAACGATCAATTTTAATAAAAATAAAAATTTTTATAGTTTTATTTTCTCAATGTAAATTATTAAGATTGTCGGATTAATAATTACAGTTTTAATAACTTAATATAATTTTCTACTCCACAAAATCCGTCATTTCTTCGCTTAATTTAAAAAGAAGAAAATTAAATCCGACGATTTTTATCATTATTAATTATTATCACACTAATAAATTGTGAATCTACAATAGTAAAATATATATCAATAAAATATCTACTTATGATTAGGGCCCTACTTATTAAAGTCCAGACCCTAGTTATTATTAATAAAAATATATTTTTATGTTTAGTATATCATATTTGATATTATCAAAATAATCAAATTTTAAATTAAATAGATAGTATTGCACTCTAGAAGAAATCACGATCTAAAAATTAGTTTTAATTTTTTTTTTCCTACTTTTAATGTATGATAATAATATGATTATTATTAGTGAAGTATACTTATTTATTGTTTAACAAGAGATACTGGAGTTTTAGCACTTCCTTTTGAATCAACAGCACTTAATGCGATTCCTAATTGCGCTGCATAATAGGTTAACATTATTGATACCTTTATAAAAAAAATATTATTATTATTATTATTTAAAGATTTCAAAATTTTTAAACTGGAATTATAATTATAAAATTTTGATTTCTTTATTATTATTATTACCAATGTATATAATGATGTAATCATAAAAATATACGGCAAGTTATAAAAAAGAAAAAAGAACAATCAAAGTAATTTCCTGTGTTGCAGGAAGACAACAATTATATATTTTTTTTTTTTTTTTTTTTAAGTTACATATTAATATTATCTACGATCAATTGTTAATTAATTTTGGTTTATTTTTAAACTGGGGGTTTAATTTGGGGGCATAGTTACCTTTTTTTTTGATCCGTTTAGGTAGTCTTTGTACATTTCTGAACGCAGGTAACGTGAATAACTGTCGCTTTTCATTAAATGATATACATGAGCCTAAAAATTTATTTTTTTGAATTAATTGTAAATTAAAAAAAAAAAAAATTTTTTTTTAGTCTTACTTAGAATTTTTTTTTTTTTAATTAATTAAATTGTGAATGGTAATTTTAGTAAGGATAAAAAATAAATTCTTTATCAATAATTTAAAGGTAAAAATCTATAATAATAAAAATTATCTATAAAAGAAAAATTTTGTGTAGGTACATAATTAAGAAATGGCCTTGTATCTTGTAAACTACTGACATTTTTAAAAATATAAGCTCATTCCGATGTTACACTCATTGAGACCTTTCATTTGAGTACCCACATCAATTTTTCATATATTTTATATATTATATATATTTCACATATACCATATATGTAAAATATATAAAAAATGCCATGTGGGTACTCAAATGAAAGGTCTCGATGAGTGTAACATCGAGATGAGCTTATATCTTAAAAAATGTCAATATTTAAGAAATGACCTTGTATTTTGTGACCTATTAACAATTTTAAAGATATAAGCTCATCTTGTTGTTACACTAATCGAGACCTTTCATTTGAGTACCCACATAAATTTTTCATATATTTTATATATTATATATATATATATGTATATATGAAAAATATATGAAAATTCATGTGGGTACTCAAATGAAAGGTCTCGATGAATGTAACATCGGAATGAGCTTATATCTTTAAAAACTTTAATAGTTAAGAAAGTACAGTGCAATTTAACAAAAATAATTTTAATCTAGCTAACTAATTTTTTAGTAAAATTTTATTTTTTAAGTTTTTAATTAATTTTTTTTTTCTTTTAATTGCATTTATAATTTTTTGCAGCTTCTAACGATATAATTTTGTAAAATAAATTTATTTATTTAAAAAATTTTTTTAATTTATCGTTAATTAAAAAACTTTGATAGAGAAGCTAAATTAAAAATTTTTTTGATCTAAAGGTCCTAAAAATTAGCAATAATATAATCATTATTGAAATTAATGATTTCATTAATTGAATCAGTACCAAAATCAAAGAAAGTGTCAGTAATGGGTTCTTTTACTCTACGAAAAAAAAAAAAAATTAAAATTAACTTACAGCAGCAATGTCAAATGACCAACGATCGCACTTTTCTAAATTTTTTTTAGTCATTTCATAAGACCGTGAATCAACATTTATTGGACAACTGGCATCGTGACCAAGATACTCATTCCATATTTCAGAAACTCCCGTTTCAACATCTCTTTGTGGTAAAGTTTTTAAATTTTGCACAGCTTCCCAAAATCTATTAAAGAAGAATACGCAAACTTAGTTTTTTTTAATTATAATAAATAAATAAATTATTAGCAATAAAAAAAACAAACTTGAGATTTTCACCACTGAATTCTTTATCGAGAAATTTAACAAATTGTTCCCGGCCGATTGGATCTTGAAGTAATTCTTTTAAACTAAATGCCCAACGCTTGACCCGTCTAGCCGATACATCTTTCCTAAAAAATAAATAAATCAAAATTGTTAATAAATATTTTTTTATTTATAAATTTTGCTATTTATGATTTTTTAAAAATTGTAAAATATTTTATTATCCTTACGCTAATTTATCTTGCTCCCATAATTCAGAACTATCAGAAATCCATGGATTGCTGAACTCTGGTTGAGTAAACATTGGATCGTACTCTATATATTGCTCAAAGTATCCAATAAGTCTAAAAAAAAATAAATTACAATTAAAAATTTGGCAAATTTTGCTTCTATAAATGAAATGAAATAAAATTTGCAGAAGTTAATGACTAGAAAGAAGAAAAAATAAAAGTTTTGATATAAATGAAAACTCACGCTTCAGCGACCTTGGAAACTTTAATACAACGTCGATCTAATTTCTGTTTCAACATATCAATTTCCTTTTGTAATGTCTCAATTGACGGATTGATAAGATCTTTAGTATCCGTTGGTGATATTCTACCACAAGCTACACCAATTTGTGAATGCTTACTTGCTTTCATTGTTTTATTACTGCGACATGCTTTCTTGATATCCAATTCCGTTGTATTGACACAACCAGGCTACAATTAATTTTTTATTTTATTATTATTATTATTATTATTGATAGTTTTTGATAGTTTTTGATGCTATGTATGATAATAATAATAATAATAATAATAATAATATTTTCTTGACAAAAATTTTTTTCTCAAAATATTCATTTCTTCTTAAAAACCTTACGATAAATTTATATTTTTGAGAATTATTATTATTATTTGTTTCATTTTACTCTAAAAATAGAGTTTTCAGGATGAAAAATTCTAAAAATTCAGAAGAAATTAATGAAAAAAACAAAAAAATTATTAATAATGCCGAACAAACAAAAAATGATAATTTTTTCTCAAAAAACTGAAAACTTTGACAAATAACATCTAAAAATTTTATATTAAACATAAATTTACAAAGAAAAAAAAAACAGAGTCTGATTTTAAATTTCTTCACTAATATTCACATAAAAAACATGAATGAAGAATACAGAATAAAAAATAGTCTTAATTAAAAAATCAATAGATAAAAAAAATTTGATAATTAAATTAAATCAATATTATTAAAAAATAAAGCGTTTGAATTCTTCCTCAATCTTAAGGTTGTACGGACACTAACGCACTTTTGAAGATCAGAAGCTAATTTTTTGATATGTTATGAATTGCTATCTCATACGTCTAAATTAATTTTTTGGAATAGATCTGCCGAAGGGTTATCCTTTAATAAATTATTAAAAAATTGAATTCTAACATGTAGCCTATAGAGACTTTTGGCGGATTGCACATATATCGATTTATGTGACTACCTCATGGGAAGATTAAAAAACAAAAAACTTCTATTTCAGTCAATCAACTTTCGTAGAATACGTTAAAAATAAAATAAAAATTTTCTATCGAAGGCTTTTGAAGATATTTTAATTCAAAAGATGAGAAATTCACGAAAATTTCAAGCCGACATATTAAAAAATAAATAAACCACGTGATTCAGCACAATGTGGCAACGTTGCACAGAATAGAACGCGCGAATTTTGAATTTTAATAATTCCTGTGTATTTTTATGGGTTACGTTTTTCAACTCAACACTATACAGTGAGATAAATAAAAACAGCTGTTAAGCGCGGTGTTGTCAGGTCCGAGTTTTGTGAAAAAATACTTGAGTCAAACGTTGACTATTTATTGTTTTTGTTAATTAAATTATTAAATTATTTTTCTCCCCTCCGTGCGGAAAGCGTCAATTTTCCGCCCGCTGCGCTAAACGAAAATGCCGCTTTCCGCCTCCGTCGAGGAGAAAAATAGTATTCTCACCACGGGCAGGAAATAAGAAAGCCTCAGATCACATGTTTGTCGACCTCGGCTTCGCCTCGGTCAACAATTACATGTAATCTGAGACATTTCTTATTTTCCTGCCCTAGATAAGAAAAATACTATTAATTAATAATAATAAAAGGTAACTATTAAATTACTGTAATGAATTTTCGTATTCAAATTTTTGATTTTAATGAAAAAAAAATTTAGATTCTACTGTGACTTACGGGGTATTATCCGTACAACCTTAAAGTATCAAAAGCAGTTTGTAACCCTATTAAATTCTCCAGTTTGGCTTGTTCGAAGCTACTCACATGTTACTCATATAATTTATTGTATTGCATTATATTATAAAGTTTCTGTTTTATTATTTAATTACACTTTTTAGTTATTACTCATTAATTATATTTCGACTTTTTATAATTGCCATCTGGCTAAGCCTTGGCATATAAATTAAATAAATAAATAAATAAAATATTAATTAAAAGTTTTCGAGTATTAATAGAAGATAAATATTAAAAAAATTACCATTGGTCGATGTACATCCCAAAAAGCCCGTTCTTGACTATCCAAAATTTTTCTCTCAAGTTTATCTCTTTTTTTGTCAACTTTGCTTTGTGCTTCCGCTTGCATGAAAATAAATTCCCATTTCCGTGAAAACATTTTTTGTAAGCGTGCTAAATTTTCAGCCTCGTAATCCGCTAACTCTAAACGTGCTTTATTTTGCATTGTCCGTTTGCATAAATATACAGCTATAAATATAATATAAAAAAAAAAAATATAAATAATTATTTTATTGTGTATAGACTGAAACGTATATACACTCGTTTGATGTCAAAGAGTTTTATTTTTACCGTAGTCAGTATTCTCAGGTTCCCAACAATTGGATGGCCAAAAATAGGGAGTTTGAAATCGATAAAATGTGTTGTCGTTTTTTACAGTAAGGCAGTGGTCGTCGATAGGAAATAAATAGCCATGTGAGGCCATTAGATGTGCAATTCTTAATGCCTCTAAAATACCATTCAAAAATTTAATATAAAAATATTTTTTACTATTATTAATTTTTAAATACCTTGTTCATCAATTTCCATATTTTTTATGATCCAAGCAATTAAATCAATACCAGTGAAAACAGAAGGTATTTTAGTCATAAAAGTTTTAACAGTTTTTACAGGTACTCCATTAGTTTCATCCAACATTTTTTCTACTATAGCTTCCATCTAGAGAAAAAAAAAAAATTTTTTTTTAAGAAAAATTTATATTATTAAGAGAATAAGCCAAATTTTGTAGATACATAATTAAGAAATGGCCTTGTATCTTGTGAACTATTGACATTTTTAAAGATATAAGCTCATCTTGATGTTACACTCATCAAGACCTTTCATTTGAGTACCCACATCAATTTTTCATATATTTTATATATTTATATATATGTTATATATATGTATATATGAAGAATATGTAAAAAATGCGATGTGGGTACTCAAATGAAAGTTCTTGATGAGTGTAACATCAGAATGAGCTTACATCTTTATAAATATCAATAATTAAGAACTGACATTACTATTTTGTCAAGTAATGATATTTTTGAAGATATAAGCTCATCCCGAGATTACACTCATCAAGACCTTTCATTTGAGTACCCACATCAATTTTTTATATATTTAATATATTTATATATATAACAAATACCATATATATAAAATATATGAAAAATGTCATGTGGGTACTCAAATGAAAGCTCTTGATGAGTGTAACATCAAGATGAGCTTATATATTTAAAAATATCGAATAATTAAGAAATTACTTTGTATCTTGTCGATTATTGACATTTTTAAAGATATAAGCTCATCTTGATGTTACACTCATCAAGACCTTTCATTTGAGTACCCACATCAATTTTTCATAAATTTATATATATTATATATATATATATGGATATTTGCAAAATATATAAAAAATTCATGTGGGTACTCATATGAAAGCTCTTGATGAGTGTAACATCGAAATGAGCTTATATCTTAAAAAACCTCAATATTTAAAAAAGTACAGTGTAATTTAACAAAAGTTATTATTTATTAAAGCAAAATTCTATTTATTTATAGTTCACTACGGCAGTCACATAGGGACTGCAAGGTTGCTAGTTTTTATTAATGTTCTTGCTTATTACAAAAAAAATTTATGAACTGAAGAAACTAATATTAGTATTGTTATGTGAAGATTAGTTAAATTACTATACATAAATAGGTAAATTTCTACAATAAAAATCCACTTGACAAATTTCAAGTATCTAAGGTGCTTCACATAAAATTACCATAAAATATGTGAGACATTATGCAGGAATTCATTTAAGAATTCAAGAGTGAAAAGTATTTTCTTCTTAAAATTTTTCAAATCAGTTTAACAGAAAAAAATGAGCAAATTTGTAATAACAAATTTATTTATTTAAAATCTCAAACATTTTTTGATTAAAATTATCTATCTAAAATTTTTTTTTCCAAATTAAAAAAAACTTCTTCATTTAAGAAATAAAATTTTCAATAAATTCATTTTTTTAAATTAAATCTTCATTAATTTTATCGTGTATTTTCAATTTAATACCTGTAAGATCTATATAAATTATTTATTTTTTTTTTAATTATTAAGCTTGCAATTTTTTAAGTATGAAAAGTTTAATATTATTTTATAAAAAAATATTTCTTCTTTTCAATAAACGTTTTTTTTTTTTTTTTTATTAGAACCATTGACTTCTCTCCCTTCAAAAAAAAGAAGTGTATTGATTTTGTAAGTTGAGTGTATACTAATCTTCACAACTTATCGTTTCAGACTATCTTTTGAAATCCCTATTAAGTAGAATAAACGATACACTTGGTCGAGTATCATTATTAAAATAGCCCAAGCTTTTTCCCCTACGATATATTTCCGACCCTTTTAATAATATTTGTGTAATACACGCACATCAATTGTGGTGTGTACATTATTTATAAATTTTTTTTACAAGCACTCACGGAAAACTGTCAATCTACTGAAAAGATAACCATACCATTAATTTTCTACCTTTTCAAGAGAATTAAGTATACTTCAAAAATAAATTCAAGAATTTTTTTTAATACAATCTCATGTTGTTAATTAATTCTCAAGGATATCATTATTAATAATTAATTAATAATTAACAATTATAAAAAGTTTGTTTTTTTTAACTTAAATTAAATTTGACAAAAATTATTTCTTAATTAAAAATAAAAATTATTTTTTAATTAAAAATAAAAATTATTTTTTAAATAAAAAATTGTTTTTTAAAAAATAATTTTTTTTCAGTGTAATAATTAATAAAAAAATAATGTTACCTTTTTATAAACGAGATAATTAGGACTATCTTCGGCACAAACTGCAGTGGCTTTAGGTTTGTTGTCGTTAACTTTTATTTTAGTTTCTTCTTTCGTCTTGGCATTTTCAATTTTATTATTTTTATCTTCAATACTAACTTGTTGCTGCTGCGGTCTTTGTTCGTTATTACCACTAACATTACTGTCTGTTGATTTTCGCCGACTGGCTGATTTTTCTGAACTCATAGTTACCATATCGCTACGATAAATTATTCATTTCCTTCCTGAATTATTTTAAACAAAATAAATTGTCAATATTTTTTTTAAGGCAAGAATATAAATTATTAATTTTTTATTAATTATTAATTATTACTTTCATTCAATGAATTTTTTTTTATTAAATTTTGCCAAAAATTTTATTAAATTTTTCAATATTTTATATTTCATAGATGAATTTAATTTATTGATTTATTAAATTAATTAATTTATAAATTAATCTTAAAAAATCTTTTTTTTAATTTTAAATTACAATTTAATTTTTACTTAAAATAATAATAATAATATTTATCTAAAAAAAAAATTTTTTTCAATAATTACATTAAAATTCTTAATTAAAAAAAAAAATTTTTTTTAGGATTAATTTTTTTTAAATTGAATTTCCTTCATGAGAAGTTTTTTTTTTTTTTTTAATAAATAGACAGAAATTTATTAAAACTATTATTACCATAAATAATTAATTTTAAATATTCCAAAAACATTAAAGAAACAATTTTTTGTAGTAAAAAAAAATTTTCTTAATTAAACTTTTTATTTTAATTTTTTATTAATAAATATTAGTAAATTTTCTTGACAATAACTTTTAAATATTCTTAACTAAAAATTTCTAGCTTTTTTTTATTAAAAAACAAAAATTTTAATTTATAAAAAATTTTAAAAACTTTAAGTGCAATTTAAAACAAATATTTTTAATAAATTAAACAAAATAAAAAAATCAAAAATATTAAAAAAATTAAAGTAAAATTTCTTCTTTAAAAAAAAAAAAACTATTTTTTAATTATAATTTATTAAATTAAAGAAAATAAAAAAATCAAAAAAATTGAAGTAAAATTTCTTCTTTAAAAAAAAACTATTTTTTAGTTATAATTTAATAAATTAAATAAAATTAAAAATTTTAATAAAATTTCTTCCTTAAAAAAAATTAATAAAATAAAATAAAATAATAAATTGACAATAAAAAGTCACAAGAGTTATAAATTACACATTATTAGGCTTCTAATTAACTTATTAATACACCCATTGATAAATTGTAATGAATAAGAGACTTGGAAGAGTAGATAGAAAAGGAAGAGAAAAATAGTAGGAAATACGATCGGAGAAACACGTAAAAGCGAAAAGGCACGATAAGAGAGTATTGATTACCGTATTTTTCATCCTTATTCGTTTCAAAGCACACCCGGGTGCTCTGTCTCACTTCGTTTAACATTACTCTCTTTTACAGTTTCCTCTATCCTTTCAACTCTCTTTTGTACTTCACAAATGTCTTTTATCGCCTTTATGTATGCTGTGACATATATACATATCAATATATATAATATATATCTCCATACATTACATTATTCTATTATAATGGATATATTATGATTTATTTTTTATCGGATATTGACGATTATTTTTTTTCACACAAATTATTCAAAACTTTTTTTAAGAAACCCAAAAAAAAAAATAAAAATTAATTATTTTATTTAAACTTACTTATTTTGTGCGTAAATATTAAAAAAAGCGATTTTTTTTGTTGAAAATAAACAAAAATATTTTTTTTTTAATTTAAACTGTTGAATTTAATTTTATTTTTAATATTTGTATGTTTATGTAAACATTATAAGGGCTGAGATTTAATGAAAAAATTCACCCGAAGGACAATTGTACACTGACATCTAGAGCACTGATTTTTTCAATAATAATGTTTAAATTTACCGCGCGTGCGCAAATTATTAGTGTACACATGCGTTGTACAAACGCATGCGTAATTTCTTTCCCGCGTTACTTTGTTGACAAATATTAATTATGTTTTGGTTTTGCGGTTTATTGGGTTAAGGTAATTAGTTGAGGTTTTATGCCACGAGAATATTCTGCAAAAAAATTATTTTTAATCTAAAATTTTTTAATTTTTAATTATTAAATACTTAACAATTTTTTTTTTAATCTTAAAAAAAATTTATTTAAAAGATATTTAATAATTTTTTTAACTAAATTATGATAAAAAAAATTAAAAAAAAATTTTTTTTAATTTCTAAAAATTGATTTTTTTTTATATAATTATTTATTTAGAAAATTATAAATTTGTTTATACACTGATAAAAAGATTTATTAACTATTAATAATTTAATTTGTTTGAGGACAATTATTTAATTTATTAAATTTTAATATTCATTAACCATTAATAAATATTTATTAACAATAAATTGTACTTAATAAATTACTTATTATAGCTATTAATAAATATTTGTTAACTGTTAAGAAATGTTTATTAAAATTTAATAAATAATTTATTGTTAATAAATATCTATTAAATCCTATGTTAAAAAAATCATTTATAAAGTCATTAATAAAGCTTATTAAATATAAGGGTGATTCTCTGTAAGGATGTTTTTTGCTGTCCCAGGCATTTTTTTATTAGAAAAATTGTTATTTTGTTACTAAAAAAAATTTATTACCAAAGTAAAAAAACATTTCTATTTGGAGCATTGAAAACTAAAATGAAATAAATTTTGGTTTTTTTTGGTATAAATTGGTAAACCACCGAAATAACAGTCCCTTGGGCTGTCCCATTCCCAAAATTAAAACTTTAAGATTAAATTTTAAGTTATTCGTCCATAATATATAATTAGGTCCATAATGTTTATAAACTTAATTAGTTAACTAACAATCTTCTTCAATAAAAAGTACCGAAAATTAATTTGTTTAATTAAATTCATTAAACCAAAGTTTGTCCCAGGGATTTTAAGAACAGTCCCCTGCCAGAAGTTCAAGGTCAAAAAAAAAAATCCACCGTGTTATTTTACCTTTTGTAAGGTTTATAAGAACCTAACTAGCCTTGAGTTAATAACCATAGGGCTGTTAGCGCTTTGTCGGGATTTTATTTAGTGTCAAAGCACCGTTTGTGCTGGAAATATGTGTCTGGGCCACTTGAAAACGTCAGTCCCCTGGCAACTATTTTTATTTATAATTTATTTATAAAATTCGACCCATAAGTCTTAATATTATTCTAATTAATGTAAACATTATGATTGAGAACTTGAAAAGTTGAATGCATTGAAATAGTTTGCTTGATTTTTCTCAATTTTCAGACGTTCCAAAAGAGAATGGCTGCCATGCAGAAATAATAACATCACATTTAAAATTCCCAATTTTTCAACTGCTTCTTATGAACATTCATTTTTAATCTCTTCAATACGCCTTTGGCGTGAATTACCACCTGATGTCATCAATGCACTTAGTATTGACACCTTCAAGACAAAAGCTTATAAATTCTTCCATGACCTTGAGCTTAAGGAGAGCCTGATACCTGGTACTACTGAGGAAAATTCAAGTTGTTAAAATTGGTGTAATTTGCAGTGCATTAAATCTGACTTATTTTTAAATTCCTTGTTACTCTTATTTCATTTCACTTTGACTGATTGTAATTAGTACTAATTTAAATAATGTTAATATATTTATGTAGACCTGTTTATACTTTTACATGTACTTTATATTACTCATTTTTGTATTTTTGCCATTTGGCTATGACATTGAAGTTAGCAGACGCCTAAGAATTTTTGATTTTTTTTATTAATTAAATTACAACTAAAAAGATATTTTTAAAAAATTCCACTAATACCTTTTTAAGTTTTTTACATGTGAAATTTTTTTTTTTAATTTTTCAATTGAAATTTTTTCAATAAAAAATTTCTAAAAATTTTGAAATGTCGGCTAACTTTATTTTCATCATTTGGCTGTTGCCTTGGCATTCAAATTGAATAAATAAATAAATAAATTTGATAAAAAAAATCAGTCCCCTGTCATATGTTATATGAAAAAAGATACACAAATATCAAAAAATTAATTAAATTACAACTAAAAAGATAGTTATAAAAAATTGCACTTATATAGTTTTTCAAGTTTTTTACATGTGAATTTTTTTTTTTAATTGTTTAATTGAAATTTTTATAACAATAAAGTTAGCCGACATTTTTGATTTTGTCTATTTATTAAATTAGAACTAAAAAAATTTTTTTTTTAATTGCACTTACAGTTTTTCAAATTTTCTACATGTGAATTTTTTTTTTTTAATAAAAAAAATTGTACAAAATTTTTAAATGTCGGCTAACTTAATTTTTATGAAATTTTTTAAATAAAAAATTTCTAAAAATTTTTAAATGTCGGCAAACTTTATTTTCTCATATAAAAAGAAAAACAATTTAATCTTTTCTTACCTAACCTCGGTAAAATAATTTCCTATGTACGGTAAATTAAAATAACAATTATTCACTAAATTTTTAAACAATAAAAAATAATTATTTAATTATTTTATTAATTATCAAAAATAAAACCCCCAAAAATTGAGGTTAAGAAATTAAACCAGCACTTGTTTTTTGACAAAGCCGCTAAAACTGTCGATGAAAACACAAATAACACAAACTATACCACTACGACCTTTTTAATACTCTCAAATACATAACATATATATTCAAAATATGTATATATATACATACATATATTACGATGATGTTATAGAGACAGCAACAATGATGGCGGCTCGTGTTTCGCCAACTAGCCAGTGAATAGTTCTTAATCAAATGGGTGCTAAAATAAAATCCCGTTTCACAAATACACACAACGTATTAACAATCATTGTTAATTACCTCAAATAACTCCCGCGCTGGTTAAATTTTTTTTTTTATTTTTTTTTTCTTCACTTAAATATAATGATGTTGTAAATAAAACAGTGACTGTTTTTGTGGTGTCCAAAAAATTGTTTTAAAAAATATATTTATAATATTAAAAAAAAATTAATAAATTAATTAATAAAAAAAAAATAAAAAATGAACGACAGTGCCTGTTTAGTGCAAGATTGTGATTTAATATCAAATAATTCAGAATCAATAACAATCGATTCAACAGAATCACGTCACAAATCAATTTCTGATGACGATAATGATGGTGATGGTGATGACGGTAAACAACAGACGACCTTGGATCAATTTAGTGCATTAATAACTATCAATCCAAATAATGATGATCATAATCATGTTAAGGGTGATGATGTTGATGATGATCATCAACTTTCACTGAATATCCTCGGGAAAACATCACGTGTCAGTTTTCCCGATGACGATCATCTGATCACTGGTTACTTGGAACCCGCCAATCCATGGGAGCAAGGTAAAAATATTTACTTGTCATAATTTATTATACTTATATTATAAATTTAAATATATAGTCTAGATCTATCCCTAGATATATAATACAATACCTGGTACATTGACTCATCAACTGACAAATCATTTTGTTTCACAATAAACTAATTTTAACGCACCTATGTCGTAATATTCTTTATAGGTTTGTTAATTAATTAACTAGACCTACATTTTTTTTTAATTATTTCTTTTTTAATAGGTTACAAGTTATGATAATTAAATTAGCCGACATTTGAAAATTTTTATAATTAATTTTATTGAAAAACAATGTTTAAAAAATTAAAATAAAAATTTTCACATGTAGAAAATTTAAAAAATTATACGTGGAATTTTTTAGTCCTAATTTTTAATTAATAAAAAAAATTAAAAATTATAGAGTGTCGGCTAACTTAATTTTCATTACAAATTATATATTTAAGTTAGCAGTCACTGGAAAAATTTTTAACTTTTTTTTAACAAGCTAATTTGTTCAAAAAAATTATTCTTAAAAAATTCTATCTATAATTTTTCAGAGCTTTTAAAGATGAAAATTTTTAATGTAATTCATTTATTTAAAAAATTCTAAACATTATCAGATGTCTCAATTTCAGTATCATTAAAAATTATAGATTTAAGTTAGCAGTCACAGGAAATTTTTTACAAAAAAATTTGTTCAGAAAAATTTTTTTTTTAATTTATACATGTCAATTTTTTTTTTGCCATAATTTATTTGTTATTATTCTGAATTAATTTTCATAAAAAATTATGCATTAAAGTTAGCAGTCTTGACCATTATTTTATTTTTTTTTTTTTTGTTTTAAAAATTTAATTTTTTTTAATTTCTTCATGTCAATTTTTTTTGCCACAGTTCATTAGAAAATTATTATATATATGCTGAATTAATTTTCATAAAAAAATTATATATTAGTTAGCAGTCTTGATCATTTTTTTTACAAACATTTGTTATAAAAAATTAATTTTTTTTTAATTTCTACATGTCAATTTTATTTGCCAAAATTTATTTGTTAAAAAACATTTTTTTCATAATAATTGATTTATTGAAAAATTCCAAGCTGTTAATTTCATTATTATGATTTTTTTTATTATTATTAATCTATTTTGATTTTTTTCAGACACTTTGATTCATCACGAGAAAATCCTGCTCTGGCAAATTTTGCTTTTAAAAAATGAATTTTTTATTTTATTGCAGATAATTTATGGATATTAATTTTTCTTTAAAAAATTTTTAATTATTTGATAATTTTAAATTAATAATATTGATTTAGCTTTAAACTAAATATGAAAAAATAATTTTTTAATTTTAATTTGACTCATTAATAAATTTTTTTCAATAGTTAAAAATATTTAAATGAATTTAAAAATTAATAAATGAATTTCAAGTGTAAAAAATTAAATATAATGAGATGTGGGCCATTAGCTCATAGACTCTTCACCTAAATACCGATATTTTAGTCATTATTTCACAATAGGATTCTATGATACTAATTGGTATCTGAGATTCATTTTCTTTTAATAGTATATACTATTTGATTATAATTAAACTTTTTCTAATGAAAAAATATTAGTCATTTTCTTCAAAAATAATTGAAGTGTAGAATATGAATAATATTTTAATTTAAAAATTTTTTACTCATATTTTGTTAAAGCTATAATAAATATCTGTCTTAATTTAAAATTTTTTTAAACAATTATATTTTAATATAAATTATTTTCAATGAAAAAAATTTTCAAACTTTGGCAAAACAGAATTTTATAATTTTTGTTGATTTTTTTATAAAATATTAATAAAAAAATTCTAAGATTAAATTAATCTTATTACATTACCAAATTTTTTCAAAAACAATTTTTTTCTCTTAGTACCCAATTATTAGATAGAAAATAATTTTGTTTAAATAAAAAATTTTTTTTTTTAATTTTAAATTTTAATTAAATAAATTTTCTGTTTAATCATATTTTATTTAATGTAAAAGACCCAGTTTTGGACACTGGCCTAGTTATTGACACTTGGAATTTTATTTTAATTAAAAAAAAAAAAAACAAATCAACTGTAATAAATAAATAATTATAAATTAAAAAATAATTAATTTTTTGAAAACATTTTATTATTATATTTAATAATTTTATTCTAATTAAAAAAAATAGAATGTTTTCAAAAAATCAATTACTTTAAAATTTATAATTGAAAAATTACATTTATTTATTAGAGAGTTGACTTGTTTTTTAAATTAAAATTAAAGAGACATTTTTTATCAATTGTTATTTAATTTTCTAGATTAAACTAATAAATAAAAAATTAATTTTTTGCAGCGCACGGTGTGACTTTAAAAAGTTTATTAAAAGCATACGAAGAATCCTGTGAAAAACACGGCAGCATCCCATTAAAAAATGTGATAAGTCAACTAGAAAAATTAGATCTAACGTCAAACAACGAGCGACACCCAGAACTATCCCTAAAAAATGAAGAATTAACAAAAGCAACTTCAGAACCTTTGGAAGAAATATTCAGGCGGCTGCAATTCATCAAAATAGATTTAGAATCTTCGGGATTAGATGACGAGAGTGCAGAAACATTATTTGACATATTCGAGTACTACGAATCAGCTAAGCACGTTAATATTTCTCACAATGGCAACATAGGAGCCCGAGGTTGGCTAGCATGTGGACTGATGATCAAAAGGACTTTGTGCTTAGAACAGCTGGACATACGCGACATTGTCCTTACCCAACAGCACATGAATATCTTAAAACGTCCATTACAATTTGCGGCGCATCTACAGACACTTAAACTTGAAAATTGCGGTCTAGCTGGACGCGCTTTTGTAATTTTGGCCGCTGCATTAAAAGTATGTACTGGTTTAAAGGAATTGCACTTGGCGGATAATAATTTGGCGAAATGTGACGCTGTTCTTTTGGGAGGAATGCTTAAAATTAATCACCATTTACAATTGTTGGATGTTAGTAATAATAATTTACAAGACGGTGGGGTTAAAGAAATTTTAAAGGGATTAATTGCACAAGCTATTGAAGAACACAACGAAGCTCGTGGTCTGGGTGTTTTAATTTTGTGGAACAATCATTTTGGGAGAGATTCTTCGGATGTTTTTTCTGATGTATTGGTATGTAAAAAATTTTTTTTTTATTCACAGTAAAAAATTTTTCGTCAAATTTAACACAAAAATTTGTGTTAATGACTTTTTTTACACAATTTGTGTTAAATCAACACTCTATTGTGTTGAATCAACATACGAAAATGTTAAATTCTACACACTAAAATGTTAAATTCTACACAAACATTTTTACACTTTACACAATGACGAAAAATTTTTTACTGTGTTTTTAAAAGTTGGGTCAAGATTAAATATTTATTTTTAGTAGTAACCTTGCAGTCACTACGTGACTGCTGTCATTTGTGAACTATAAAAAACTATAATAATGAATTTTGTTGAATTGCACTGTACGTTCTTAAATATTGATGTTTTTTTAAGATATAAGCTCATCTTGGTGTTATACTCATCAAGAGCTTTCATTTGAGTACCCACATGCATTTTGATATATTTTTCATATATGGGTGATTCTTTGTAAGGACGTCTTAAATCTGTACAAAATTTTCCGACCAAATTATTTTTGATTTTATTAAAAAAAAATTAATAAGGGCTACAAAACTATCAGCTTAATCATAATAAATATACAGCCGATTTAATTTTTGCTTTTTCGATATTTGTGTATCTTTTGCCATATAACATCACAGGGGACTGTTTTTTTTTTTTATCAAATTGAGAAAAATCAAGCAAACTATTTCAATGCATTCAGTTTTTTAAGTTCTCAATGAATGTTTACATTAATT